TACAGAAAAAAATTGATCATCGACTATTTCAGGGGCAGAAGACGCCAATTTTTTTTTGTCACGGGTCGTGTTCGGTTCACGTACTCCAATGTGAAAAAACAGGGTGGTCATGACACCAAAAAATAGAATCGCCATTACAATCATCTGCGAGTTTGGGATTGAGACATAATAAATATTTTAATTTCTAAAATAGGTACGTTTCATTTTCTACCGACTTGAAAATCTTTCATTTCGGAAGGACCAATTTGGCAATTCGATTTTTGATTAGATCTTAGCACAACCCACGTGACAACATACACTAAAATGTTCGAGAAAACGGTGAAAGTGTATCTGTAAAAGTAAGCGTTAAAACAGTTGAAACAAATTTAAACATCATATTATTAATGTTGTGCTCGCCTTATGGACAACAAAGCTGTTCTCTCGTCCCTCAGTGGCGTGAGATCGGACACCAATGCCATATGTGAATTTTCTATCGCGGCCCATCCAATTTGAAAGATTACAATGTAAAAACAATAGTATAAACACATTTGAACCTCCGACACATTCGAATCTACAGGAAACGCTGGAGGCGAGAACGCAAACGGCAAACTGATATTCACCAGTAAACTGCCTATAATAATAATTGTACAACTCGAACTTTACACATTTTTATATCTCATTCGTAAAATATAGGGCGTCTCAAAAAGAACGCCGGATTTAAATCTGCTATGAATTAAATTTATTTCTCTTAAAAAAAACATAACAAATATATCATTTTCTTCAGGAGAAGTTTAGGTTTAACAGCGAAAAACAATATCGGGCATACGACCACCCCCCCCCTTGCTAGCCCTACAGGCGATTATTCTTTCCATAAAATTTACCATCACTCGATCATCACACATTGCCCCATCAAGTTCGTTGAGGACACGACGAATTTCTTGCTTAAGTTCCAAGACATTTCGGACAACCAAGAAATTCGTTGTGTCCTCAACGAACTTGATGGGGCAATGTGTGATCGAGTGATGGTAAATTTTTTGAAAAGAATAATCACCTGTAGGGCTATCAAGGGGGGGGGTCATATGCCCGATATTGTTTTTCGCTGTTAAACCTAAACTTCTCCTGAAGAGAATGATATATTTGTTATGTTTTTTTAAGAGAAATACATTTAATTCATAGCAGATTTAAATCCGGCGTTCTTTTTGAGACACCATTTTTTTTTAAATATTAGTACAAACTATTTATTTCTACAATTATAAGTTAATACATGTATGAATTGATGCTAAAAATTAATGTGTACAAACTGGACGATATTTACAAAGACAAGCAACGTAAAAAACAATTATTTACAGCAATTACAAGGCAAAGCCGGACTCAACAATGAAGAGAAGGACGGATTTGATGATGGGAATGACTGAGGAATTGAGAATGGAATAAGTGTCAAAATGGTTGATATTATAGAAGGATAGGGTGGTGAAGAGAGGAGTACGAAGTTGAGACAAAGCAAGACACCATAGCAGATGGGGGAAGTCGCAAGGAAATTTATCTTCGTGACGTGGACAGAATGGGGAATCGTTAAGGGAGAGTTTAAAAGCAGATTGTGACCGGATCGTAAGCGGGAAAAGGAGATTATTTCTCTCCTAGACAAAGGGAGGAAATAAAACCACGGGAGTTTGTTGGGCGCGGAAGTGATGGTTTTATAAAATTGGGCGTAATTAGGGAAAGAATTCTTCCATAGTGAGGACCAGGAGACATGCAGGGCCTTGCGTATGGGAGGAACGAAATCGGTCCATTGTACATAGGTGGAGGGATCTGGGGTCAGGAAACAGGCAGCTCTGGCGAGGGAGTCTGCCCTTTGGTTGCCCGAGATGCCAACGTGGCCAGGAATCCATACAAACTCAACAACGACGTGAGAAGTGTGTAAGGAATATAAAAGTTGTTTTATCTGAAGGATATAAGGGGGAGCTTGGAAGAGAAAGGAAGAGATTTAAGTGAAGTGAGACAAGAAGGGGAGTCGGTGGCGATGAGAACGTTGCTAAGGGAAGAAGATTTAACGTATTTCTGACCTTTGATAATGGCTATGCGTTCTGTAGTGAAGGAATGAATGAGACACCCTTTATTAATATATTTTTGATCGCCAGGATAATAATATGATTACCAAACAGGTGCCACGTCTTTCGTCGTCCGTATCGATCGATCCAACTCAAATTTACTTTGTCCGACAGCACACCGATAGCAGCTGTTGCAACGGCGTCGGTTATCTGCCCCACAAATATCACAATTCCAGTGTTAATGCTGGACAACTGTACGACATAATGGTAGTAAACCATCGCGTAGGTGAACCACATCGATGCAACCATGTCGTTGAGTACATGTCCGACACCGTATGTCATGAATGAAATCCACTCGACAAATCCGGACACCTTACCGTTGTTACCTGCTGTACAGTTTAGTAATAAGTGTATTGGATCAGCCTACTATTTTTTTTACAAATAAACCGTCTACCGCAAGAAGGGATACAACTCCATTGACACCTATCTTGGGAAAAGTAAATCAAAATTGTCCTAAATTTGTATACAGGGTGATTCATTAAGGACAAGACACTCGTTTTCTCGGAATATATTAATATTTTGAACAATATTTTTTTCCAAGATTTTTCGGTACACTTTGGTACTATATTTTTCAATATTTTGAAAATTTTTATCACCAATCCTTGAAGGCCAAAACGGGGGATTTTAGTTTTTTTTAAATGGCAACATATGTTTTTAATTACATAAATTTGAAGACAAAAAATAAAAAAATAATTTTAGCGTTTGAATTTTGAATTTTGATTTATTTGTTCATTTGTTATGACTTTATAAAGATTTGATTTTTTGACTGTATTTCTTAATATTTTCATCGTTACTACAAAGACGAGTAGTTTTATTACACGCATAAAAATAATTTGATACAGTGGGTTTGTAAAACCAACCTGTGTACCTGTGTTGGAATAGGTAATCTGTAGATAAGAACCGTTTGTATATCATTATTTCAGTCTTTTATACCAGTGACTTTTTTTGTTAGAGTGTTATCGCCAAATGGACAATGTGAACATAAATATGAACTTTATGTGATACCGGTTTTGGAAAACCGAAAAAAACATGATAATTATTAAGAGAAAATGTAGTATCTTAACAAAGTCAGATCCTTAATGAATCACCCTGTATAGTGTATAAAGTGCATAAGTGCACAAGTCTTATTATGCACTTATACACTACAGCCTACTAACTGTAGCCTATTAAAACTGCATACAACAATAGAATACAACAAATACTTCAAACAAGTACGCTGTCAAGTGCCCCACAGATTTGTATCGAATCATATCGTCAAAGGGTTTATTAAACAGATTTAAAAGTTTAAACCACAATAGTCTACTTCACTATGCTGGCTGGCCTAACTGCATGTATATTTTTACTATTCAAAGGTTCGAATCGATGGTTATTTTCGATGCAACTTTTGACACAGCTATTACTTTAGTATAGTAAAACGTTTATTTAAAATAATAATTTGTTTATTTAACTTACGAATAGGTAACTAATTTGGATTTCCAAAATTCGGATAATCCAATCACCGATAGTGACCAAATAGATGTTAGACTATACTCATACAGTGTTACCTTACCTACTTATAAGTTAGCCATTATAAAGTTCGTTAGTATTATGCTAAATTTATTATGGCGATATTACAAATAGTACATAAGTTGTATAAGTGATATGTAAGTGATTTATCAATAATTATTAATCACTAATATCAAAAATAATACACATAAGTCATATAAAAACAAAAATTACAAGAGTTTCCTCTAGAAACGTGCATTTGAAGCTTCACGCCTCTAACGAAAACTTAGTTTAACTCATATATATATATATATATATATATATAATATTTTAAGAAAAATTAAATATACCTAACTCTGTTAGTACTACTGATAAAATGCTACTTTATGAATTAGATATGTCAAAACTTGCTTACTAGTCACGATTACCATATCATTGCAATGTCCACTAGCGGCTGCTAATGAACTCATTGGAAAATATTTTGCTGTAAAATAATTTCTACTTAATCAGCTACTAATAACTACTCCGACATGTTGTACTATTAATCGCCAAGCTTTAATTTTATTGTGAAATAGATAATAATTGTTTTCATACTTAAATAATTTACATAAAATTAAAATATATATATATTTATATACAGTAATAGTAGTTGCTAATCAGTTGTTTAGAGAATAACAAAATTAAATTATTAAAACACAGTAGTTTATTGTTATGTTTTTGAATATTAGCCAGTTATTTATCAATTTTCTTTGGGTAATTTTTTTATTCATATCATTTGAATGACCCTTATTTATACGCAATACGTAATTTGGTACATAGACACTAGTCGATAGTCCGGTGAACAATTAATTCCGTCCTATTCTGCATAAATAGGTATATTTTATGAAATATATTATTTTCTTTTAGATTCCTTTCAATTAAACTATGGACACTATCCACCTCCATTTGGGTATGACCCATAATCAATTATTTCTGTTTTATATCTACTTTATGTTTAATTGAATACTTTAATAATCCATTAGAAAGAATAACATTCCTGTTTTGGTTCATACATATTCCAACAGTTAGATTCTGTTGCACTAATAGTGGTTGTATTGCATTATCTGCACATCCACCCCATACTATTAGTCCATATTGCATAATAGACTTGTACAATGGTCAATGACTCATAACAGTACGCATAACATCTAATGGCAGAATTTTATTTAGTTTACAAAATTTAAATATAATTGATCTCAGGCGCATTGTCAAGTTTTCAATATGTAGGGGAGACCTGGGTAAGTTGACGAATCTAAGGTTCAATGTAATTTTAAAATACAAGACCTTAATATAAATCCGTAAATTGTACACACATAGATAGAGGAACTTTTCAAGACTGTTCTAAAATAAAAGTTTAGCTTAATTATTTTTTTAAACAGGTTAAAAAAATTATTTAAAAAGGGTTTTTTTTCTCATTTAACACAATATATGAATTCCGCACATAACACAATGCATATTAAACAATTATCGTTAAGGAAAGACACTCAGAAGTATCACCCGGTAATAAATAATTAACAATGGTTTTCTTATTTTTGCCTTATTAAACTATTAGTACAACATAATCTGCTTACACTTTACTGTTTTGTCATGATAATAACTGCTATAATATAGTTAAAACTTAAAAGTGTAAATTAATTGTCTGTTAATTGTTAATTATTAATTCACTATCAGCAATACAAATTCATTATCATCAATACTGTGGCGGACACAGATATCGTATCGCCAACACGTATAAAAATCGACACAGCAGAATATTTTATTTTATTTATCGGTTCTTTATATAAAAGATTATCAAACAATACACGTGTCGTGAATATTTCAACTAAGTAACAGTTGTTTTTGCCCTTTTTTACTGCTCTATACATTTTCTTTAATAGTTGGTCCAGCTTCCGTAGGTATTACAACAGCAGCCCAGCCAGGTCCGCCAGCGCCCGGATCTCCAGCTTCTGGACCTACATACATATAATTTATAATTAATATATAATAATAATATAATTATTAGCAAAGTCGAATCGACTACGGTTTTTTATTTTACAAAAATTAACAATTAACAAAATATTATAAAACCGGTATGAGAGTAAGAAAATACAAAAAGCGACGGTGTTCGACGGCTTCGTACTGGTCCCCGTGTAAAAACCAAAACATTTATTTGAAAAACAAAATTTGGATTTTATCATATTATATAACCTTGTTTTTGGAGTATTTATACATCATTGGTAAAACAAATAATGAAGTTATGATTTGTTTAAATGCCCTTAAGGACAAAAAATGATGTTAGGAAATTATCAGTTATGGCTCTCAAGTACAGAATTGTTTTTTTAAGTTAAGTGTTTGGATATTTTGCAGAAGGACTACCAGCAATATTATGGGCAAATACTTTTTTAATATTATTTGAAAAATGTATTAATTAGGAGATTAATACAAACCTCTATATTTCTAATTGATCTACAGAAGTGACAACTTCTTTTTAATTTTAACTTTTTCTTTTATACATATATATTAACAATCTATATAGTGAGTACAATAAGTAAATGCTATAAATGTTATAAACATGATATTAAACAATTATCGTTAAGGGTAGGTTAGGTTAGGTTAGGTGACCGATCCAATTGTCCTACCATTGCCGGCGTAAGGAGGGGTGTTTAATAAAATTAAAAATTCTTTCGTGGTCTTTAGCATAAAGCTGTTAGAACCCTTACTTCAATTGCAGTATTTGTGTTCTCCGGTTTACCGTGTGCGTATAGTACCCGCCTGTCATACCGATATATGGGCCTTGGGGTGGATTTTGCAACTAATATTTGATACAAGCTTTCGACCTTTCAACGCGAGCTTTTCTAAAAACAAAATGAACAAAGATTAACGACAGCCAATTTTAACGGTTAGGTTATAATAACAGTCGATTTCCACAACACCACAGAGGTACGACGAATGAAGCGTTTTTTTTCAAGTGGTTTCCCCGAGAGGCCTATTCCACCTAACCCAAATAAGGGTTTAAAATTTTTTTTTTTAAAACATTATTCTCGCTCTAATGCCGCTAGTTGGTCGTGAGTTAACACTGCCATTTCTGCAAGGAGATGTACTCGGGCCTCGCAACGGGCTGGCAAAACCCTGTCATAGAACCGATCTGACCTAAAAAAAACCAAAAATTAAAAAACTACCGACAATACATATGTAGCAAAAAAAAACTAAAATACATTCAACGGTTTATGTGAGGCGGCCTGGATAACAAGAGCAGGTAAAACTTCAACGTAGTTTTCTATTAACTCCGCTAAAACCTCATAAACAATTATAAATTTCTATTAAACAGACACAGTAGGATTCCTATAGGTATCAGTGTGGCTTCCCAAAATGCCTGTGCACATTTAGAGGTGAAATCACGCCGATGTCTGTTAATCGGAGGTACGTCCGATCGCCTTTAGTGTACCGTGCATCCTTGTGAGACGACATTGACTAAAGGCTGTCTCCTACGACTTCGGGTACCCCATCCCACAATCAAGACCAATGACTGTGCCAGCCAGCATAAGCCAACTAATCGCGGCCTAAAACAAAGATATACAAACGTTAATATGAACTATCTATAAAAATATGAGAAAATTCATTATTATAAATGTAAAGAAGTATTGTAGTTTAATAGTTTAGTAGTAAATATTGTAACTTACGAATATTTGTGGTGTTTAAGTAGAGAGGCGAATTTGGAATTAACACAAATCGCGTAGACGAGAACTGGAGCTGGAAATTTTATGAACATGATCTTTAAAAGCAACATAGACCGGCAACTTGCCAATGACAAGGACTACAATTATTGTCAACACAGGTGTCAAGAGTAAGTTTACCATAAACAAACGGCGGATAGCAAAATATGCCGAAATGTGTTATCATTTTTATCATACTGTTATTGACAAGTCTTATCTTGGTCATGATAATTTTACCGTGGTCACCCCGGTATACCTTAATATACCGCATAATACCACAGATTATCTAATCTGTGATTATACTGTTATCAAATTTGTTATCTAGACTTGTCGAATGACCATGTGCGCGACATGTTGTCATACATTTTAAAATTTAACAAAATTTTTATAATAAATATTAAATATTTTTATATTAAATTTGTTATAACTACCTTTTTAAAATCCAATTAGTTATAGCTACCTTTCCAACAAAATGGATCAATCAGTGCCAATAATCGGTAACATTGTTTTTTCCAATACTTATGTATTTTGTCTCAACAATTTAAATTGGAACAACCTATATACTTTTTTATGTTGTTACTTAATTTGTATTGATTCGTTTTCAGCAAGTAAAAACACCCACCAAAGCCATCCAGTGGATGACCGCTATGGTGGTGATGTTGGCAAACCGGATTCGCCTGAAGTTCGAATGTAACCACGGCAAACTATCATGTAAGTTTTTCACACATACTTGCTTGTACTGATGGCCATTTAAATAAAAAAGTATCAGGACGGATATCCTGGTATAACTGTTAGTATCCAATAATTCTTGTAAATATTTTTTCCTCGATAAAACTAATAATAGTAGTATAACAATACTTTTTCGAAAATTGTTTTTTTTTTAAACGTACGTTTAAAAAAATAATATAGCAGAGAAAACTTTTTTGACATTGGCATCATTGACAATGTAACTGTAAGTATTATTATAATGTAAATTATAATAATACTCGTAGGTATATCAGAGGTAATTAAGAGAATGATGTAATGAACTTCTATTTATATTATTAGTTAGTAGTTCAATTTTAGTTTGTAAGTAAAGTATGACATTTTTAAATTGGTTACGCTTGACAATTTAGTTATTTCTTGTTTTTAATTATTAGCTTAAAGTAAAAATACCAAAAATGTACAAAATTGTGTGTTTTTTTTAGATCGAAACAAATAGATCAAGAAAGCAATGTCCATATTGCCTAATAGCATGGACAGAAGGTCAATTTACTATCAAAACCATTCCTTGTAGTCTTAATGTGAAGAAAAAAAAATAAGAAACCACCAAAAGCGGTATCACTTCAGCGATTGTTTAAAATGGTATTTTTTTTAAAAATAAATATAATTTTAATTAAAAGGACGCTACATACTCGTTAATTTAACACCAAAAAATGGTTTTTTAGACAGTATGTGTGGATGGTGTTTACAGTAACCGTGTGAAGTTCTTACGATGAACAGAAAAGAACTTAATCTATGTCATAGCGTTTTTAGTTATTTGTTAACTTAAACACAATCAAAATGATTCATTCGTAATGGTTCATTTTTTGCCTTTTATTATCTTCATTTATAAACAAATAATAATATATAAAAATAAAAACGCTACGGTATACATTGAGAAAATTTGGTTAATTTACTATTAATACTGCTCAAAGCAGTTTTGATTTGAAATACATTTTATTTTATCCTATTGAAATGACTGTGATAGTCTCACAAAAAAAATATGGGTATCAGTAAAGAATCCTTAATACTGTATTAATCAATATACATATTATTACATGCTCTAAATGAAGATTTTTCGAAAAATTGCTTATACATTACTCCTCAGAAATGGGCAGTGTAGCGTCCTCTTAAGTATTCAATATTCTACTTTTTTAATTTTAATTATTAATGCGCATTTTTTAGGTAGCCAAATGTACGGTTTGTCATAATACGTCAAATTTAGTTTTCAATAAATATAAGTTACCTTAAAAAAAAGAGGGTGTTCCAGAATAACAAAAAAGAAGAAGTAAATCTTGACAACAAAAAGAAGAAAAAAAAAGGAAGAAAAAACCGTATGCTGGTTTTTAAATCCGTTAGTTTTTAAAATAGTATATTATATTATTAAAAAAAAAAAGATAATTTACATTTGATTTCTTTTTTTTTTTAAATACCCTATATAAGGGTATTTTAGATTGATATTAAATTACTATTGTATCAATATTTTTATTAATACTACAAATCTAGAGTGTTTTCCTTACCTAGTCTATTTGGACAAATGATAAAACAGTAATTATTTCTTCCGGTTAGTGTCAATAGAGAACTGTTCAACCATCATCTTTGACTCATGTTAAAACTGAAAGATATATTACTTATAAATAAGTTAAAAGTTGAAATGTTAATTATTAAAATAATAGGTAGAGATTAAAGGGATAGGTAAATGTGTTTATTACAAAAAAATAACACTATACCTGTTACCACATTTTAACGCTATCAATCGGCACCGTATCGGCTGAATAAACAGCGATTCCAATTATACACAATAAGACTGCTATATATAAATACCCAAGGAAGAATAGAATATTTAGGTGCTAAATTACCATTAATGGAATGAAATAACTAAAAGTTTTCCATGAAATATTTTATTAAATGTAATATGGACATTTCACTTACCTGGAAAACTCATATGACCTAATAAATTCAAATTTAAAGACCAGCCAAAAATTAACAAAACTCTCACAGCACAGATGAATCTTGAGTATCAAGTATAATACTTGTTAATTACTAAATTTGTATTAAACACTAGCTGTGTTAACCGGCAATATTATTATTACCATTGTTAATTATAGTAAATACACTGACGTAAAAAAATTCAACCAAGAAATAACGTTTTCCATTTTTACCCTTTAGGGGTTGAATTTTTGTAAATCCTTTCTTAGTAATTCCTGTCGGTTTAAAAATAATAACTTCTTACAGAATCTTGTCTGGGAGCTCAACGACGAAACATTCACAAAACGCTTATTTCAAAAGTTGTATTCAGAAATTAAATAAATATTTTTGAATTCGGTTTTTAAAGAAAAGTTATTTTATTGTTTTAACTTTGATAAATTCTGAAATATAAAATGTGTTGCAACATTAATAGTTGTGCATAAATTATAACAGAAATTGTTAAATAATATAGAAAAATGTTTTCAAGGTGTCAAACATTTTTAATTTTAAAATATGTACTTTATTTGACTGTATTTTAAGAGGGCGTCGCACCGGTGATTTTCAGTGGTAAAAACATGTTTAAGCAGACTGAAACTATCTTGCTTAATTTTGGTTATTGAGTAGAAGCACCAATTATAAAATTAAAAGAGAACAATATTCCGGAGGGCAAGACGGTGCGTTTTAAAAAAAAAATCATTTTTTTAAAAATTTACAGTCATTTAAAATGTTAAAATAGCCGTTATTTCTAAACTATGTATTGAGCGCGTTATACTTGGAATAATGATAAAAAGGCACCGTCTTGCTTTCCGGAATATTGTTTTCTTTTAATTTTATAATGGGTGCTTTTACTCTAAATCCAAAATTAAGCAACTTATTTTCAGTCTGCTTAAACATGTAGAGATGAAAAAACATTTTTAAATCGCTTTCAAGGATGCTGTGGTAGTCCAAAAAATAAATTAACTACCAAAATACAGTCCTAGTTATTGAACTAATAATTACACATCACAGTTGAACCTTTAAATAAAGGTTTTGTAAAAAATTGCCTATACTTTACTCCTTAAAAATGATCGGTGCGACGCCCTCTTAATATGAACACAGGTGCCACGGCTGTAAAATAGGCAATTGTATGTGCTCTCCGTGTAGCCTATCCTAAAACGCCTTTAATAAACAAAAAAAGAACCAAAGGATGTAATTTTTGTTAGGTTGAAGTAAAAAACGAAGCAGAAGTACAATTAATAATTTTTATTGTTTACACAGTTTTTTTTATAAATTTTGTGTGCATAAATAAGAAGTAAATTCAAATAAGTCACAGGTTTGATTAGCAAATAATCGAATAAAGAATAATTAATAATAAAGGCGGCGGTTAGACCATTACAATTTTTAAAATATGATACGGCCCTGGATAACCCGAATTAAGTGATACTTGGCCTGATTCCCATAGACCTGCAAAAAGTGTGGGGAAGAAGGTGGTGTGAACTCCTCGATGCTCATCTCAGACAATTTAGCTTTCGTCTTTTTCCCATGGACTTGTATTCGAGTCGGTTTTTCGAAAGAAACTTGTTATGTTTTAATTTTTTTAATTTTGCCACTGCACACGTCGACACACACGACGGGTGCGATTTGTTGAGTTTAATCCCATTGTTTTTTTTAACCACACGCACAAATCGAACCGGAATTATTTAAATTTGATATTGATTTGAAATTTGACATAACAATAATTGTTTAAAAAGAACGAGCTCTTTTGAGGGATAACGGATAGCGGAATACAGTGGTACACACAACAGTCAGTAATACGACAGTGAAGATAATAAGTACAAAACCCATAATAAATGCATTTATTTCATAAACAAAATATTAAGAGGGCGTCGCACCGCCTATTTTTAAGGAGTAAAGTATAGGCAATTTTTCAAAAAAAAACTTAATTTAAAGGTCACACTGTGATGTGTAATTATTAGTTCAATAACTAGGACTGTATTTTGGTAGTTAATTTATTTTTTGGACTACCACAGCATCCTTGAAAGCGATTTAAAAACGGTTTTTCATCTCTACATGTTTAAGCAGACTGAAAATAAATCGCTTGATTTTGGTTTTAGAGTAAAAGCATCCATTATAAAATTAAAATAGAACATTATTCCGGAGGGCAAGGCGGTGCGTTTTTTTCATTATTCCAAGTGTTACGCACAATACATAGTTTAGAAATAACGACTATTTTAACATTTTTAACTGACTGTAACTTTTCAAAAAATTAATTTTTTTGAAAAAAACGCACCGTTTTGCCCTCCGGGATTTATTCTCAGTCTGCTTAAACATGTTTTTACCACTGAAAATCACCGATGCGACGCCCTCTTAATACGTTGGATTTTTGTATTTATAATTTATTATATTATTTTTTTCCAATTACCAAACGGTGCCGCTTCGACGCCCTTAACTACCCTACTACCCATTACAAAAAAATTAAATTGTA